ATATATATATATATAAAGAAAAAGTGAGACTGTATGAAAAGCATTGTTCTCATTGGCTACTGCCGTGCGCGAATCTATATAAATATACATGCATAAGTTGAAAAGCATTTGTTGTTGGAGATCAGGTCGACACCGCTGTAGAAGACAATTTTTAACTTAGATAATTAACTTTAGTGCATTGGTGATAATTATAGCATCAGTGATAGGAAGGAGTTTTATTTCTAAGTGCAAATCCTGGAGTTATGTCTTTGTCATTGGAAGTTAGACGGGTGCGGGACGAGAAAAGGACACTCTCACAAAACGTACCCTATAGAATTTCAGCTATGAATTAATAAAATACAGAAAAATAGGTCTGTGTGATAATGTAAATAATGTATTCTGGATTAATGGTATCCTTCTTTTGTACGTAATGTTCCAGCTGACAATGGCGTGAGAGCGATTTTTCCGAAAAGTATCAAGCAGGTCAATTACTTATTACCATTTACTGAGCTGCTTTAAACACACACACACATACGCACACACATATGCACGCACACATACATACATATATATATATATATATATATATATATATATATATATATGAATAAAGACAAAACGAAAATTTATCTTAGCGGATGCAATGCGTTCTCTGACGGACTTTATCAAGGCAAATGAAAGGATTTTAGTTAGCAGCAAGTATTTATAAACTAAAGTAAAAATTATTTACATTATTTGGACTGTTGCCCTCATCTTCATTGCCATATTCACCCAGTTTCGGCCGTTGTACGCTCCAGCCTTCTTCAGGTGACTGGAATTTCGAACTAGACTCTTGATTTCGTCCACCAAGGTAGACTATTCCAGTTCCACGTGCTATGCCTCTCCCGGATGTCTCAGTTATCTCCCTTTAACTCAACTTTCCAAGTTTTTGTTCCCCACTCCAATAGCCAGGTAATGAATTCACAACTCTTTGGGGTAAGTCACTGGATCCACCCAACGCTTTTATCCACTAGGACACTTGAGGACATCAGCGTATGCATTTTGGGGGAGTTATAATGTCTCAGTTTCAGTTTTTAACAGAGCTCATATTGTAATTTTGTTGCTTTTATTGCTTTTCTCTGGCACTCCTTATTACTGGTTGCCATATTGTATTCATTTCTATTCTTGGCCGGCTTAGGAGATTTTTCTGGCCAAGCATATGTGCTGATTCCTTAAATTTTCATATTTTCCAGTGTTGTTCTCTATTATTTCAACCTCATCCGAAAGGTCGTGAATATGACAATAAAGATGTCAACAGCCCAAACAATGTAAATAATTATGGTATCTCATCTCAGAAATACAGACAGATATCAAAGTAAAAAGGTTAGCTGAAATTTTAAAAAATCAACATCATTTACTGACTTTCCTTTATTAAACAGTGAATTATGTCACATAGCATTCTCTATAATTTACCTGGATTTTTCAGTTAACTTGATGAATTTTTATGAGCGTCTCTTAAATTGAAGAATTTTGAAAAAGTAACATTTTTATTTTTGTTTATAAATGCTTGTTGCAAAATAAAATCGTTACATTTACCTTGTTAAAGTGCATCAGGGACGAAACTTGTCGTCTAAGATAAGTTTCCCTTTTGCCTTTATTCATATTGTCCTTTTACAGAAAGATTTTTAGTTAGATGAGAAATTTTACACACACACATACACATATATTATGAAATGGAAAAGTCCGACAATTATCTTAAAGACATTTTTATGTTTATACATTCTTTTTTATAGAAACAAATATTTAAGTAAATGCTCTGTTTATAATAAACAGTATTAACAACATTACCGGCCTGAATGTCCGAGAAATTTTCACAGAAAATATTCGAGAATCGTACGATTATCAACATCAAATTTACTGCCTTTAAACTACAATCTTCCATGATTCTCTCACGTACATTCATATCTGCTCATGGCGTATCCAAATGTAAAAATATAAAAAGAATGTATAAACATAAAAATGTCTTAAAAATAATTGTCGGATTTTGTCCATTTCATAATGTGTGACGTCATTGGATACGCCATGAGCAGATATGAATGTACGTGAGAGAATCATATAAGATTGAAGTTTAAAGGCAGTAAATTCGACCTTGCTTATCGAACGATTCTCTGTGGCTAAGAGCACGTCGGTTAAGAGCACGTCAGGTTAAATGACGGTTCCGTATAGGATACAGGTTCGATTCCTGTCGGAGAACGAATATTTTCTATGAAAATTTCTCGGACATTCAAGACGGTAAATGTTGTTTAATACTGTTTATTATAAACAGAGCATTTACTTAAATATTTGTATCTATAAAAAGAATGTATAAACATAAAAAATGTCTTAAAAACACACACACACACACATATATATATATATATATTCATATATATAATATATAGTATTATAACATATAATATTTAATAATAATAATAATATATATATATATATATATATATATGTAGTAATAATAATACAATATGGTAATCCGTATGGAATTTCCAGGAGGATGTAGATCCAGGGAGAGTTCTAGGTCAAGAGACAGAACAAAATTATTATTAATTAATGAATATCAAACACTTAAAATCCAATAGGTAATAACTTTTATTTCATGTGAGCTCAAAAAAGCAGCTCTCAATCTTTCAGACTTACAAGTAAATCACAAATAAAAATGAGAAAAAATAAACTCCAGATCAAAATCAAGAAATATTGCTATATTATTTAGAGAATTGGAAAAGAAAGAAAGATGCAACTTTAAGTTCAAGGGGGAATTTAATTTTAAGGACCTAGGGTTTTATCCGCAGACTTAAAAGTTTGTGGTGACATAATTTAATATAGTAATTTCAGATTTAGCTTTAATATGTCATTTAAGGAAGGAGGAGAAAGAAAGTATTGTTAAAGTAAATGTGAATTGAAAAACATCCTGTCTGGCCCTCTCTTTCATATGTACATATATTCATTTCAACAAATTATTTGTAAATTATATTAAAAAATAGTATTTGGTTAAGAAATTTAAATTAAAATAACTAAGAGATATGAATTAAATAATTATTAAGATATTCAGAGAAACTTATTTATAAAGTATTTTAAGCTACAGTCCTAAAATTCCATAACCTGGATGTAATTATTAAATTTTAACAGGATATTAATGTTCTTTAAATCAAATATATAAGTAAATATCCAAATGTTGGACAGTTTTTGTCTTTATTTTCTCCCGAAATTAAAGCAATTATATCAAACATAATAGACATTATCTGTTATATATATATATATATATATATATATATATATATATATATTATATAGTAAAATGAATAAATATCTATTTTCTTCCCCAAAGTTTTTTCCATAACTGAGTTTCATCCATAATAAGAGATAACTGATAATAAAATAGAACTGTTACAAGTTTTAAATATTTATCCAGTTTATCTTGGGTCGACATATGTGACATGTTAGGAAAACCTTGATGAGAAGAATATGTTGCGCCAGTCTTCCATTGGAGATGGTCTGCTTGCTTTGCAAATCTGTATTCGAAAATTTATCATGGAAGCGAGGTAGAACAAAGTGTGTGAAATTTCATTTGTTGCAAATATTTAAAAAATATCTTGTCTATCTTCTGTAGAAACGCTATCGATATGACAGAAACTCAGAGTTGTACCAGAAGACGAGAAACAAAATGTATGTTTATTATTAGCTTATATATTTTTTGTCTCTGTTATTATACATCGAGTATTGGTTTATAACTACTACCACTCGCTGTGTACTACCTCATATATATACATACATACATACATATATATATATATATATATATATATATATATATAGGCAGCATAACTTCATTCGAACATGTTTCATTGAATAATATAGACATATTGTGCCTACTTATTTTCATATTGATCCTTTAAAGTTGTTTAATCAGTTTCTTGATGTTGAGATGAAATTCATCAAGGAAAGCACCGTAGTTTTTTTCCTACCAAAGTGCTTTCGATCGTTTCTAAGATCATCTTCAGAAGTAAATTACAAAGACAAACATGGTATTGTAACTGTGGTAAACTGAAAGACATCCCCACCTATATATATATATATATATATATATATATATATATATATATATATATATATATATATATATATTTATATATATATATATATATATGCAGCAACCTTTCCCTTCAGACATGTTTCGTTGAATATGACAGGCAAGGGTTTATTGAATTTTTCTAGTATTCTTAACCTTTTCCGTTTGGTGTGGATAAGGAGATGTAGAAATCGTCCGTAGTGTCTATTGTCCCAAGCGTTTATATATATATATCGATATATATCTATTTTAAGACATTTTTTATGTTTATACGTTCTTTTTATAGATACAAATATTTAAGTAAATGCCCTGTTTATAATAAACAGTATTAAACAACATTTACCGGCCTGAATGTCCGAGAAATTTTCACAGAAAATATTCAGGCCAGTAAATGTTGTTTAATACTGTTTACTATACGGAACCGTCCTATAGCCTGACGTGCTTTAACCGATTGAGCCACAGAGGAGCGTTTCGGTTAGCAAGGTCGATTTTACTGTTTTTAAACTACAGTTCTCCATGTATCTATGTATTTATGCATGTATGTATTTTACTCATTTTCATTTCTTACACACACACACACACACACACACACACACACACACACACACACATACACACACACACACGCACACACACACACACACACACATATATATATATATATATATAATATCACACATTGAGTGCTGGTGTTAATAAAATAGTGCTCGATGCAATATAACAGAGCTCTAAACTATATATTAATAAATATAAATATAAATATTATCCCTCACCGGTAGCACGATTCTGAGTTTCATACACAACGCAATTTTCAGTATCACACACACACACACACACACACACACACACACACACATATATATATATATATATATATATATATATATATATATATATATATCCTAAAAGTATAAAACGCTGAATGGAACACTATCCCCTAAAGTCTCATCGTGTGGTTAATACAGCAAGAAATTAAATTTCTTACTGCGGCACCGCAAGTCATGAGGGGGAACAGAACCCCTTGAAGAATGGACATTACCAAGAAACTTTGAAGTCGGAAAAACAACAAACAATTGATATTTAAAGTCTTTTTTTATATAATATTATGCTACACACGCTTTATCCCGGATATTGAGCACTTTTACATTTTATTGAGCATAAATATAGCATTTTTTAAAACTTTATTTTATCTATCTATCTATCTATCTATCTATCTATCTATCTATCTATCTATCTATCTATCTAGTCTGTAGATTACTTTGATACCTTTCTGAACACAATGCGTTTAAAATACTCGTGAGGAACGCATTGCACAATCCAAACAAAAGAAATCATAATTTACAATTTTTTTCTTTAAGTCGATAGAAATAACGTTTCCTGTTTTTTCTTTTGAGAGAGAAAAATGTGGATAAGATAAATATTAAGTTTAGTCTAGTCTGGCACAAAGCCTCATCTAGGGAATAATAGTCTAAAGTTTAAAAGCCTCCAAAGAAAAGTTATTCAGTTTGCAGAGATGCAGAAGGCGATTATCTCCCTATGGTTGAGATGAAGTCACGACGGTCACGCGATGTCAATTCATAGGGTGACGATGCCTAGTTGGTATTTATCACACAGAGGGGCAAGAACTGTCTGCCCACGCCAGTTGCTCTGCGGAGACGACAGACGTGTGAAAAACAGAGGAACCCTCATGGTCGTACCAGAAAAGGACACCATCGACCTGCCCTTTTGCCCTTTGGGAAATATTACAAGTAAGACTTTCTCTTTTTTTCTCCCTTTCACACTGCTTGTTATTTACATATGTTATAGTTTTTTTGTGTGAGACAAATTAGTAACAAGTATGTATATATTGGTATAAAAATATCTTTGAGAATCATATGGCTTGCCATTCCTTTCTTTCATCTCTTCTGTTCTGTCTGTGCATTAAGGTGTTACTATATTGGTGATATATTTAAATAATTTTGAACAGCATAGCGATCTTTCTCATATTTTTATAAGCTTGTATTTACGTTATAGCGAACATTTAAGGGGTTAATAAGAATAAAAAGATAACATCATCAAATAAACAATATTACTACTACTACTACTTCTACTACTACTACTGCTAATATAACCACTGCTAATATTACTACTGCTACTATTATTTTAGAACCAGTTGCTTCGCTAATGGCAAGATGATCAAATTTCAAATCGAAATTGTTTGCCCATATAAAATTCTGCCATTACTAGAAAATAGATTCAGTTTAAATACAGAACTCATAAAAATGACTTCAAATTTCAAAGTGCTACATATTTCGTCTTACACTTTTTCCTGTTACTCAGGGGTTGTTGCCAGAAAGAAAATGAAATTAAACCTTGCAACACATATGTTCAATTCAATATCATTCAATTTTTTAAATAATATCCAATAATTATAATTATCTGATTTTTATATTTTAAGAATTAATTTTTTTCCCAACTTTATGGTTTTATTGCTTACTCCAGGGTACGGAACGGACAGTCCAAACTGATTGGTAGTAGAATGCATTATTCAAATGACATTTTAAACTCCTTCATATTTGTATGCGTGTATGCATGTGTTTGTGCGTACATTAAATGACGCAAGCATATATAAGTCATTTACGCACAAAATACGCATATACGTTAGATACACACATGCAAATACACACACGGACGCACAGTGTCTGTGTCTCTGTGTATGTTCACATTTCACTAGAGAAAGATTTTATATGCAATGGAAAGGTTTTTATACAACCAGAGAGATTAAGAAAAAACGTAATAAAAAGTCTACATCTTGACGATGTTCTTTGGAGAATTACAACAACCCAGAAACGATTAACATTAAAAGCGTGGTACCCTGGGTATTCGCGTGGTGTAGAAAAATACGTACAACATTACTGGCGGTATTGAGTAGAGAGCTATTGCCACTTGATCTCCAGTAAAAGCCGCTATTCAACTGGCGTGAACATTCATTGAGATCAAGCAAATTGGAATTTAACTTTAAAAATGAAAAATGCTGGAGTTTGCAGTAAAGAAGAATAAATCGATTAGGAAAGAAAAGTTGTCAAACGGCCAAAGATTGAATCAGAAAAGAAGAAAGAGTAAAATGAGAAAGAAATTTTTTTACAAGAGATTTCTGAAAAAGAAAAAAAATGAGTTAAAACAGGAAAACATTTGAAAAAGCAACTGAACAATAATGAATAAATGGAGTCGAACAAATGAAGACAGACAAAAGTCCATGAGAAACGGCCGAGAAGCAAAGAAGGTTGGCTGGGGGCTTCTCTGCCGGCAGGATACGCAGCTCGTTTGAAATTCGAGGCGGAACACGTGATCAAATCTGGAATCTATCTATCTATCTATCTATCTATCTATCTATCTATCTATCTATCTATCTATTCCCCCCCTCTCTTATCTTTCTATCTGATCCAGTTCATATCTATCTATCTATCTATCTATCTATCTATCTATCTATCTATCTATCTATAGTGTAACCCGGATATAAGAGAGTTGTCGGGACCGGAGAAGAAGTCTCTTATACCCGGGTTTCTCTTATATCCGGGTTTGGTCTATTTTGTTTGAGTAAGTATATCTATTTGGGACCAGAGAATATCTCTCTTATATCTGGGTTTCTCTTATATCCGGGTCTCTTATATCCGGGTTATAATGTATCTATATATCTATCCCCCCTCTTATCTATCTATCTCATCCTGTTCATATCTATCTATCTATCTATCTATCTATCTATCTATCTATCTATCTATCTATCTATCTCATCCTGTTCATATCTATCTATCTATCTATCTATCTATCTATCTATCTATCTATCTATCTATCTGAGAATATTAATCTGTCTCTCTATCACTAATCTAATCCATTAATTCCCCCATCTCTTAATTATCTATCCACTTGCAACAATGTATGTAATCGTCTTAAAATGACATTCTTTTCAATATAAAAATAACAATTACGAATAGCAAGTTTGGGATTAAACATTACTTTATAAATGTTTTGTTCGTTGTATTTCGGATAAATTTCAATGGTATACGATGGGGTGCTGAAATGTTCTTGTCCCGACATAATACTCAAAATCTGAGTGCACGTCTTGAAAAAAACTTTTGGGGAAGAGCTTTTTGTTCGGAGAGATAATATTGGTTTATACGGAATAAATTCCAATAACCAAAAAATACTATTCTTAAAAGAGTGCTCAATACAGAGTAGAACAAATATAATTATTTATTTAAAAACTATAACATAAATATGTTATAAAATCACTACAAAAATAGCCATTTTGTTTCAACATTTCTGGTGTCTTATCAAGTGATTTTGTTTGAAACAAAATGGCTATTTTTGTAGTGATTTTATAACATATTTATGTTATAATTTTCGAATAAATAATTATACACACACACGATCCCCCCCATATATATATATATATATATATATATATATATATATATATATATATATATAGATAGATAGATAGATAGATAGATAGGTTTTATGAAGAAGTTGAAATAGATATACTAGGTAAGATGTATAAATTGTCGTCTAAATGACGCAAAAGAAAAACAACACTGACATCTCATTTTAACAGATGTACTTACCAAAATTACAAAAAAAATCTTGAAATACTAAGAACTAAATTTATTCAATAAAATTGCCAGTGGCCTCAAACACGTCCTCCAGACAACTTCGGAATATCCTGCAACTCTTCTTGTTTAAGTTGGTGAATGCTGCCATAATCCTTGACTTCAGTTCTTCTTTAGAGTTACAAGGAGTTTTGTCAGTCTCTAGCTCAACTGCGCTCCACACATAATAATCAAGGGGATTGTAGCCTGGGGAATGAGGCGGCCAGTTATAAGTGATGATGTGGTGGCAGAAATTGACTGGATTCTCCTGCTTGTGTGGCATGGTGCAGAGTCCTGTTGCCAAACTTAGGGTCTTCCATCAGCCACCCTCTTCATCCAGGGCAGCATTATCTCCTCAAGGAATTTGATGTAGGCTTCTGTATTTATTCTGATACTCTGTGGGAAGATGAATGGAGGAGACATAACGGCGCCATTACTAAACACCTTCGTAATCACCATTAGACTTATCCAACTCTTTCTAAATCCTCTGCAATGTCCTGTACATTGACACCCAAACACTTTGAAATGACTGTATTGGAGCTTCCGGTGCGAATGCCAAGCAGTACAACATGTCGTTTCCAAATTTCTGGTGGAAATTGCGCGCTCTTTTCTCACAGACATGTCCTTACTATACTGTGCAGACAACAAAATCAAAAACAAGCAACGCGCATGCGCAAAATTAAAAATATAAAATGGCAATAATATAATTTTACTCATTGCACACTGATATATATATATATATATATATATATTTTAATAATATTTTTGGTTGTAATGTGGATTTATTGAGAAAAATATTATACTTTGTTTTTACATAATTTCACGACACGTGTTTCTGGTCTGGTCTCCAACCGTCTTCAGACCAGAAATATTTTTTATATTATTAAAAATAAAATTAATTTTTCTTCAAATTCAATGGAATATTCTCGACAGAAGTTTGTGTATTGGCAAAATTTTATTTTTTTCTCAATAAATTCCACATTACAACCAAAAAACGTTTGTTAATACCCTCTTCTTTTAATATACATACTTTTTCTCTCGTTGGAACCACTACAACATATTTCTTATATATATATATATATATATATATATATATATATATATATATATATATATATATATATATATATATATGACATTATCATATATAATTTTATATATCAAAAATAGTAGTATTGAGAAAACAGTATGAATAATTGGAAAAAAAGTTTTGTGACGCGTTTCATCCGTAAGGATTTCATTGGTCTGAGCTTTGTTGATCTTGCCACATCTACACATGTGCATTAAACGAGAGACGCTGGTAGTTTCAAAATTTTTCAAAGAATATTTTTGAACGAATATTTTTTTTTCAATCTAACCAAATTCGTCTGAATTCTTTTTCTCTCCATCACCTTTATCCCTGACTATCCCACATTGACAACAGAAAATCTACAAAGGATGGTGATATATTGTAAGAGCCTGAACGAAAATTTACCGTGGCTGAACTGGCGATCAAAGCACTTCTCTATGTACAAGAGGAGGAGGCCAACAACACTCAGAAAACAGTCTGCCTGCCTTATGTGAAGGGGTAATCAGAGAAAATACAAAGGATCTGCGGTCCATATAACATCAGGACAACCTTCAAAAGCTTGACGACACTTTGCAGATATCTCTCCTGAGTAAGACCAACATAGAGGAGAACATGACTAAAGACTGCGTGTAAGCTATCCTGTGCAGCTGCGGAAAGAAACATAAAGGAGAGACAGGCCGCCCCCTCAAGGTAAGGCTTTAAGAACACCAGAAAGCTGTAACATGAGGGGAAGTAGAAAAATCAGGCGTGGCTGACCACATATGGAGAGAGAAGGGAGATCACCACCCTCTGTGGGATCAGGTTGAGATCATAGACAAGGAACACCACTGGAAAATCGTAAACTTAAGGAATCAGCACATATGCTAGGCCACAAAAATCTCCTGAGCCGACCAAGCATAGAAATGAATACAATATGGGAATCAGTAATAAGGAGTGCCAGAGAAAAGCAATAACAACAACAAAAGTTGCAATATAAGCTCTGGTAAAAACATATAATGATAACAGCAAAAATTGCAATATGAGCACTGGTAAAAATGGTTGCTGAAGACATTAGGTTTATAATACCCAGAAATTCATGCAGAGATGTCCTCATGGACACGTGGCACAGTGGATAAAGGCATTAGTTAGACCCGGTGAGAGGTATTTTTTTTATCTTATGATTGGGTTTTATTGTGAGTTCAATACTCGGTTAAGTCAGTGGAGAACTTTCAGAGAGAAATTAACAGGAGATAACTGATAACTGACATCCATTAAACATGGAAAGTGGAACTAGAATAGTATACCCCAGTGAGCGAAATAAAGGGTTCAGTTCGACATTCCAACCACCTGAAGAAGGCCGGAGCGTAAAACGGCCGAAGCGTTGTGATAAATATGGTCCGAATAATGTAAATAATGTAATCTTGAAATTTACGTGTCTTTATAAGCATATTCAATCGTAAAATTAATTACTATGGAAACGGCTAGAACAATTATTTAAATAAGGGGCGTAAGGGTTAACAATTTGTATCAACATATCAGTTACATTCGGAAAGAGGTCAAGTCAAGGTAGGGTTGGGGTGTCTAATTTAAAGCGAATGATGGCATTCATACGCAAACCGTTTAGTCTGTTTCAGCTACAGAATAAATGGCGTTATTGCTACACCGTTAAGTGTCTATGGTGAATTTTTTTCTAAAAGCGTTGTTTGTACATAAAAGTGTCGTATTGAACTACAATTAGTTTTTTTTTGACAACTTCATGAAGGATTTTTTTTTTATCTTATGATTGGGTTAAGCTTTTAAGCTTTTCATTTCGACTATGGAATTTTAAACTTTTATTTATTTATTTTTTAAGCTAATTATTTAATGCGAAAATTTGTTGATGTCGGCAAAAAACCGTTAACTCATGTCTATGATATAATAAATTTTCATTATTTAGAAATTTTATAATGTGTAGTTTTTCCTGTAGGCATAAAGGGCATGGGTCATCCCAGGTTTTACAAGTTCTCCTTCTACTTATTATTTTCCATTTTACTTTTAGTGCTTTATTCATTTCTTTTAAATGCCAAAAATATTTGGATTGGGATGTCTGATTTCTATTTCTAAAATTTTTGAAGGAGCTTTTGTGTTGTCTCCATCTAATTTTAAATTCATTTTTCGTTGAACCAATGTATATCATTTCGGTGTTAGGACTCTCAATGGATGAGATAGTGCATTGGTATACCACAGATTTTATGCGGCATTAATTTTCTAACGAGCAGTCTTCAGGGTTTCTACAATCACATAAATTTTCATTATTTTTGTCTAATTTTAGTTTAGGGTTTTTATGAATACTATTTTAGCATGCGTGTTTTCCAGGATATCTATCTATCTATCTATCTAACTATCTATCTATCTATCTATATATATATATATATAGAGAGAGAGAGAGAGTGAGAGACAGAAAGAGAAAGAGAGAAATATAGTTTTAAGGTACGCTATAGATAGAAATGAGGTATACTATAAAGAATAAGTTATGCTTTAAGGTATGCTATATAGAGACATGAGTAAATAGCAGGACAGATTGGGTTCTATAGCCTTGGGTGGTAACCAGTCTAGGAGAAGAACAACTGTGAACTCAAAACCTGTGGAGGTCATTTAGAAACCTTGTGACGTATTGTGCACCTGTTCTCTGTATTCGGCTCTTTTAAACTATATGGTTGGTTCTGTCCAAGCCTTCACCACTAGAATCAAATATGTACGGGTGGCAGTTCGGCTGTTCGGTCTAAGAGCTGAGATGCTTGACTCTAATACAACAAAAGCCACGGGAGAGTCCAGTATAGCAATATATATGTATATATATATATATACGATTGCGTCCAGCATGAAACAGCCTGTCGCTTCTGAGTGTTGATTTCAATGTTTACTTTTATACATATATATATATATATATATATATATATATATTAGTGAATACACATAATATCCAACGTATATATATATATGTGTGTATGGCGGCCTGATGATTGCGTCCGGCATGAAACAGCCTGTCGCCGCTGAGTGTTGACTTCAATGTTCACTTTTATATTTATATTTACATACACTCTATCTCTGATATTGAGCACTTTATCCCATAAATATAGCACACCTTAAAACTATATTTCTTCATATATATATATATATATATATATATATATATCCAAGTATATCAAGTGAAGATATTGAATATAGAATTCTATATTCAACAACATCACTTGATAAAACACCAGAAGTGCTGAAACAAAATGGCTATTTTTGTAGTGATTTTATAACATATTTATGTTATAATTTTCGAATAAATAATTATATATATATATATAGATATAGATATAGATAGATAGATAGATAGATAGATAGATAGAGAGAGAGAGAGAGAGAGAGAGAGAGAGAGAGAGAGAGAGAGGGTGGTAAACGGCCTAGAAGAAGGAAAACTCAGAACTCAAAACCTGTAGTCTGGCTGTTGGGTCTAAGAACTGAACTGCTTGACCCTCATGCGTCGAAAGCGACGGGAGAGTTCAGTATATATATATATATATATATATATATATATATATATATATATATATATATATATATATATATAAATCTGTGTGTGGGTGCGTGCCCACGCGTGTGTTTGTGTGTATGTTGATGCACGTTGAATGTCGTAGTGAATAGAGTGTCATGGTTACGATGATAAACTACATCCGGCAGCAAAGTCACTAATCGGGATATTGGCGGTTTTGAGGATCGTTAAACCACTTATACTGTTTTTTCCAGATCCATTTGGACCCTGGCCATTCTTCCCCTTGGTGGTAGTAACTGTGAGGGTCACAATGATGGGCAAGTAGTGGACCTGGCGGATGAAGGTAACTCCTCGACACCCACAACCTCACAATTAGGAACCACTGGGACGAAGAGACCCCTTAGTTCTTGTTAGGAGATCTACGTAGGAGAAAGAAAACTGATGTAACACCTACAGTACACTAGCAACCTTTGACATATCATATTTTTCTGATCCTTGTTTATGTTGCTAAGCGAATTGGATTGGCCCTGTACACCGTGTTTCTTTACTTTAAAAATTCCATACAGTCATTGCACGTTCTTTTGTGGGGATCTCATCGGGGGGTGGCCGCGCTTAAATGTCATGTCCATACGTTGAACCGGTAAATCTTTGCGTGATGTTGTGAGATGACCATGTTTGATAACAAGAAGGCAGTCATCATGTTTATTCACGCTGGATGTCGGAGTGAATGGACGTATTTTTCTATTGTTACAGGAAAGCGATGTGTTCGTGTTTTTAATCAAGGAAGTAATTATTCTTTTTTTTTACTTGTTCATTTCTCGTGTTATTTGTTATAAAATACTTTTTTTGTATTGTATTCTTGTTCATTTGTTGTGTTTGTTCATTAAAATGCGTGTTGTTTTTTTTTTGACGGGTCGTGATGTACATTGATTGTTTTCTTTTTTTTAAGTAGATGTTGTTTGGCTGGTTTGATTTGTTGCAAATGGCTGATAGCTTATCATTAAGAATTGTTATATTGTTCTGAACATTTGATGAGTTTTATTTGCTGAATTGGCTTGAGTAATTGGAAGAGAGTTTTGAGTCGTAACGTTGCTTGTTTGTTGTGGTCTGCTTTGCTTTACGGCATATCAATCTCGATGTGTTATTTAATGGCGACAAGAGTTTTATTGCTGGTAGTATTTTTTTCCAAAAATGTATTTTTGGTATTAAAACCTATTTTTATACTTTCATAGCGTTTTGACCGCTTTTGTTTTGGTGGGGGGGTTAACTATTTGCCCATAGTTGGGACCCTAACAGGTGCTACTACCCCGGGTCAGGGTGGACTTGGGAACACCAGCAATTAAGAGATGGTTCCATGTTCCTCAAAAACTTCTGATCAAAGGCCTTGCCGTTGGATATAGTTTAGCGGCTTAGCCAGAACGCGGATGTAGTTTAGCGTCTTGGCGCAATGTTACTTTGCTTTGTTTGTATTTTGTTGTTAGTTCCGTATAGTCGATGCCTTCTTCTGTTGTTTTTCTTTCAAATATTTTTGACAATAGAAGTAGAAAGAAATGTGTTCATGTGTATGTTTCATGATGGCTTTGTGCTTTTCTTTTTTTTCTTACTTATACATTGGTTTCTGTTGTTCATCGTTTAAGCAGAGATTTTGATAACAACAACAACAACAACAATAATAATAATAATAATAATAATAAGGCAGAGGATTAGTTCAACTAGAACTGTCCTACAAAACTACAACAATTGGTCTTCAACGAACATTGAAATCGAAATCTCAAAAATATGGCTCTTGGGACCATCAACAATTCCTATTGAATTACAACAGGGATTGCTGATGGAGTCCTCGGATTGGTTGGAAAGGATTCCAGTAGAGTCATTGAAGGGATTCATGGAAGCCCATGCCTTAAAGAAATACAACCCACGCTTCATGAAGGGCTTTATCTATGTAAAATAAGTTTTTTCTTTAATTGGTCATTGGAAAATGCCATGATGCCATTTCTAAACTTAGTTGTCTAGGTGGGACCCAGAAAGAAATGTGTTCACACCAAAAATCAAAGGAAATAATAATAATAATAATAATAATAATAATAATAATAATAATAATAATAAATGTGGCATATGGGAACATCAACAATCCCTGTTGTAGTTGGAGCCCTACGACTGGTTGGAAAAGATTGCAGTAGATTAATTGAAGGGATTCCTGGAAGTCCATGCCTCAAGGAGATACAAAAGATTGTTCTGACAAGTACAGCCCACACTTTACGAAGGGCTTTATCTATGTAATATTTTTTTTTTGTCAGTGGAAAGTGTCATGATGCCATTTCTAACCTTAGGTCCCTGGGCGGGACCGGGAAAGAAATGTGTAAACGCCAGAAATCAAAGAAAATAATAATAATAATAATAACAAGTGGTACGTTAGGCGATGTGCTGTTTGCTCCAGCGTCCAGTCTCAAATGTGTATGTATGTTTGGCTATGTCTATTTCTATGTGTATTTATATATTTGGGGTGTGGTAGCCTGTGTTTCCTCTCGGGCTGATGGCCTGAGCCAAAGTAGCCCTGGGTGCTTCCGAACTACCAACGTTCCAAGAGAAGGACAACTCTAAAAAGTTTTACCTGTTTTCGGTTGTCTGCCTCACGGTGTGTTATTGCCAGAAATGGTTAAACTTCATGAGCGTAAGGAGTCCTGAAAGCCGAACTGGTATGGTCGTGAAGGAGTCCTGAACGCCGAACTGGTATGGTCGTGAAGGAGTCCTGAACGCCGAACTGGTATGGTCGCGAAGGCGTCCTGAACGCCGAACTGGTATGGTCGCGAAGGAGTCCTGAACGCCGAACTGGTATGGTCGCGAAGGAGTCCTGAACGCCGAACTGGTATGGTCGCGAAGGTCCTGAACGCCGAACTGGTTGGTCGCGAAGGAGTCCTGAACGCCGAACTGGTATGGTCGTGAAGGAGTCCTGAACGCCGAACTGGTATGGCCGCGGTATGATATAACTGCACACTCTGGAACTAGATTAAGTGAAGAGGACCAGTTGACAGAATCTAGGGTGGGTTACAATTTCTTTTGGAAGGGTAATTCAAATGGCGTGAGACATGAGCTGGATGTTGGATTTGACATTCGTACTGAATTAACGAAATATCTCGAGCAAACCCAAAGCGTTAGTGATTAGAATCGAATTCCTCCATCTTGCGACCTTCTTTTCCGTTTAAGCTCCAACTTTCGCCGGTCTTGAGGAATCATTCGTGACTTCTCTACCAAGATCTCGGAACTTCCATCACAATAGTTCCAAAAGCATATAAGATTCTCTTCCTTGGCGATTTCAATGCTAGGGTCGTCTAGGGTCACGGAACTTGTAAGAATTTGGAAAAGAATGGACTTGTAGAATATGAATAGCAATGGACTGTACTTTCTTCAGCTTTGCACTGAATTCGAACTATCATTTTCATATACTTTTTCTTTCAAAAAGTTGACTATGGGGTTAATTGGATTAATCATATATATCTATATATATATATATATATATATATATATATTAAAAAGAAGAGAGATATTCGGATTACTAACGCATAAAAAGAGAATGTCTCATATCGAGAATATTTAACATCGAAAAACATAAAGGAGAAGAAAAATTAATTATTTTTAATAAAATGTGGAAATAGCCACCCTTTGCCTGATGACGCTCGCGAGACCAGAAACACGTGTAGTAAAATTATGGAAAATAAAGCATAATGTTTTTTTTTAAATCCACATTACAACCAAAAACGTTTGGGGTAACTCTCTTCTTTTTAATGTACACACTTTTCTCTCGTTGGAACTACTATAACCTCTTCTTTATATATATATATATATATATATATATATATATATATATATATATATATATATATATATGCAAAGTATAGTTTTAAAGTGTGTTATATTTATGGGATAAAGTGCTCAATATCAGAGATAGAGTGTATGTAAATATAAATATAAAAGTAAACATTGATGTCAACAGAGGCGACAGGCTGTTTCATGCTAGGCGCAATCGTTAGAACGCCTAACGATTGCGCCTAAGTCATGAAACAAAGTTTCCTCTTTGAATTCGACGTCAATGTTCACTTATATATATATATATATATATATATATATATATATATATAAAGACCCTGGCATTAAAGAAATAAAAATAATAATGTAATTGAAAGTCTTTTAAGCACATTTAAACATCTTTTTTGGATTTCCCTGGTTGTAAGGAGTCTTAAATGCACAATACAACACGAATTCTTTTCGATAATTGAGAGGGGGGGGGGCTTTTTTCTCAGTATGTTATGAATAAGGTATCTTAATAAAAAGTGGGGAGTTGGAAAATAATTGAAATTAATAAACGGGGTGTTTTTCTAATCTCGAAAAAGGATCGGAAAATTTCCCTGGCTTAAGAGTTAGTATTTAGGAATAATGAACCTGGGGTTATTTAAATGAAGAATTCATATATTCGGTTGGGTCTTGACACGTGTGCAAACGCGAAACATTTTTGCCTGCTGACAAATATAACCAGATTTAATATTTGCTTTTCGACTTCAGCGATAATGTCTTCTTTTTTTTTTAATTTTCAACCGACATTTATTTAATTTTAATGTTAATTTTTTTTTGTTTTTATCGACCGTCAATCTACGGCTATTAGTAAACAGCACGGATCTGATAAACTGTAAGCGAAAGTCGTTTGTAGGCTTCTTTTGCACTACTTGACCCAAGGATTGAACTCACGAATACCAGGTAACATGATTTTCTTAATACAGTGTAACCCGGATATAAGAGACCCGGATATAAGAGAAAACCGGATATAAGAGAGATTTTCTCTGGTCCCGACAACTCTCTTATATCCGGGTTACACTATATAGCCAATATCGTTCAGAAGGAAGTTAATTTTGTCAAATCAAAACTAATACAAGTCGACTGAATTATAAAATAAAAGAAAAGACAATGAACATTTTTAGACTTCAGAGTCTGTCTATATTTCTGAGATGAGGTATTATGTACAGTATTTACATTAGTCGGACATTTTTATGTCCTCATCTTTGTCACAACGTTTCGGCCGATCACTGGGGTAGACTGTTCTAATTCCACGTGCCATGTTTGATGGATGTCAGTTATCAGTTATATCCTGCTAATTTTCCATCTGAAAGTTCTCCACTGCCTTAACCAGGAATTGAACTCACCTTCTTTGGGTCTGTCACTGGATCTAACCAACGCCTTTATCCACTGTGCCATGTGTCCTTGAGGTATGAACTTCTGAGTATTATAAACCTAATGTTTTCAGCATCATTTTTACCAGTGCTCATATTGCAATTTTTGCTGTTATCATTGCATGTCTTTACCAGAGTTCATATTGCAACTTTGTTATCATTGCTTTTCTCTGGCACTCCTTATTACTGGTTCCCATATTGTATTTATTTCTATGCTTGGTCGGCTCAGGGGATTTTTGTGGCCTAGCATATGTGCTAATTCCTTAAGTTTACGAATTTTCCCTGTTGTTTTTCAATGTTGTTCCCTGTCTATGATCTCAACATGATCCCACAGAGGGCGGTGATCTCCCTTCTCTCTCCATATGTGGTCAGCCACGCCTGATTTTTCTACTTCCCCTCGCGTTACAGCTTTCTGGTGTTCTTGAAGCCTTACCTTGAGGGGGCGGCCTGTCTCTCCTTTATATTCCTTTCCGCAGCTGCACGGGATAGCGTACACACAGTCTTTAGTCATGTTCCTCTCTATGGGGGTCTCACTCGTGAGAGATACCTGCGAAGTGTTGTCACGCTTTTGAAGGTTGTCCTGATGTTATATGGACCGCAGATCCTTTGTATTTTCTCTGATAACCCCTTCACATAAGGCAGGCAGACTGTTTTCTGAGTGTTGTTGTCCTCCTCCTCCTCCTCTTGTACCCGCCTATCCCAGTTTTTGGGGGCTGCTGCCATGTACCCAGGGTAGTTGTTGCGTTGTAGGGTACTACTTATACTGACCAATTCCTTATCTAATGTCTCTGGGTCGTCACTTATGACTTTTGCTTGGTGTTGTAAGTAGCGGACGATCCCTTTCTTTACGCTGTATGGATGGTGGGAGTCGAAATTGAGGTACTGTCCGGTGAATGTTGGTTTACGGTATACGACAGACCCAAAGAAGGTGACTTCAATTCCTGGTTAAGGCAGTGGAGAACTTTCAGAGAGAAAATTAGCAGGAGATAACTGATAACTGACATCCATCAAACATGGCACGTGGAACTAGAACAGTCTACCCCAGTGATCGAAATAAAGGGTTCAGTTCGAAATTCCAACCACCTGAAGAAGACCGGAGCGTACAACGGCCGAAACGTTGTGACAAATATGGCGACAAAGATGAGGACAATAGTCCGACTAATGTAAATACTGTACATTTTTAGACTTTGTTTTACACTTGAGTCTTGGGGTTCATAAAAAAAAATGCTGACTCATGAATATTCATTGGATGATGAGTTTTGTGCTGACATTTCTACCACGTGAGAATAGTTGTGTAGCCGCGTAGGAGGGACACTAATGATTTTTGTTTCTATCAGAAATCATGTCTCGAACGATTAAAACTAGAAAAACTGGAAATTTACGAAGACAAAACCAAATAAACGAACGAATATTTTAGCTGATATTTTCTTCACACTGATAATATTTAACAACGAGGGATGTATGTGGCACAAGGCCGAGTTTACCGTGGGTTCTCCGAGCTCAAAGGCTCAGCCAAAAATATTTCCTTAGAACCCGCATAAACGGGTTCAGGGCCTGTCTACCTCCCCAGACGAAACTTTGCCCTTTGGCAAAACCTCGTCCGGGTTCCTCTCTGCTCAAGGCAGAGAGTTCGACAGTTGAACAGGTTAGAGCTCTGTTTCCCCAGATCTTCGCACTAGTAATATTTAACAGCCACCCCCCCCCCCGCCACGAAGGATGTATGTGACACAAAGCCGAGTTTAACGTGGTTTCTCCGAGCCCGTAGGCTCGGCCAAAAATATTCCCTTTGAACCCGCCTAAACGGGTTCAGGACCTGTCTAGCTCCCCTGACGAAACTTTAACTAGAGCACTGCTTCCCCAGATTTTCGCACTGATTGGCCACTGTCAAGGATGACAATGGCAATACAGGGTTTTGCCATTACAATCTCAGCAGGTAATTGTTTTTTTTATTTTAACAGCCAAGGAAAATGGACTTTCATTCTGCTTTTACTCACCCACCTTTCTTCTTTGCTGAACATCATGGCATACCAATGCCAGAACCTTTTATCAAGATATATCGGTAAGAGATACCCAGAGAGAAATTGGAATTATATCTATTAAGAGATAAGTGAATACTACTTAAAGCAAAATCCAAAACACCGTTTGCCGTTTAAGTGTTCTGTTGTCTTATACCTACTCTAAATAATTCTTATGCCTTCCCGCCACCTACAATATCAATGTCAGCTCTCCTAATTAGAATAAAAAATAAAACTCATTAAAAAAACATAAAAAAAAAACATTAAAATAAAAAATAACAAAAAAACCTCGTTACAAAATCTTGATATTAAACGCTATTGTGTTTACATCTTTGGCAGGTGTGGTTAGAATAAAAGTTATCTAGTCCTGGGTATGACGTTAAACTACATCCGGCAGCAAAAATTCTGATCAGGAGATTGGAAATTTTGAGGAGCCTGGAACCACGTCCTAATCGTTGCTGTTACTCGGTTCACTCTGACAAGGGGTAGTAGCACCTGTTAGGGTCCCAGCTATGGGGAAAATAGTGAATTCCCCCACCAAAAAAAAAAAAAAAAAACATTATGAAAGTATAAAAATACACATTTATATTAAACTGACCAGCAAAACGTTTTATCCGTAGCTGAAGACATGCAATTGCTTTAAAAATATTTAGATTTCGGCATTGAATAACCCATAGAGGTGTTGATATGCCACTAAACAAAATTAAACAACAACCAACATGAAAGAATTCTTTCATGACATTAATCCATATAATATCCGACAATTTCTTAAAGAAATCAAACTATATTCCAAAATATAACTTCAGCAAAGCTACAACATATCACCACCTTCAGTAATTATGCCCGCACAAAATCTGAGTATCATCTACCATGAATTCAGTTGTGAAAGTAGAATAACATATATCATATTTTTATTACTTTAAAGCTCCCCCCCCCTAAAATTGAATATCGGCATTAAATGACCCATAAAGGAGTCAATATGCCGTTAAACAACCAAACA